TAATTCAAATTGATCCTCCGCTCTGGCATTAACCGTTGTGCCAAGCTTTGAACCTCGCGACCCGGTGGCTTAAGAGTAGCTGTCCCAACTACCATCCCATTGGTCCCGGGTTCGATAGCCGCTATCTCTATCTGATGAGAGGAAATAACCTCGAAACGCGTCATGGAGTGCAGTGTTTTCAGCTGGGTAACACACAATTTGTTTCTGCTTAATCTGCCACGGTCGTAGTGATCGAATGGCCAAGGTTCACTTCAGTGGGAATCGCAGTCCACTAGGAGATTGCGTGTCGCAATCCATCCACACAACCTCTAATTCAAATGGATCCTCCAATCCGCGTTTGGTGCAGATTGTTAGAGATCGGACAATGACTTGGACAATGGGAGCAAACACACCCGCCTTGTGATCTGCATTATATTTTTGTCTTCAGATGTGGTCTGTAGAGTACAAGAAAGCTTGATACTCGTTCTCATTAGTTACAGGCAAAATTGTCACAGTGTATTGCAAATCGAAACCGTACTGATCACTTCAGGTTACTTTGTTATCCGCACACCGTTCACGTGTTCTTTTGCGCAACGTTTATGTTGCAAGGACGGCATGGGTGCTGTGTGATTCACTGAAAGTTCCACGAATCCTATTGATACACCGAGAGAAAGTGCATAAAAGGTGTGCTTCAACTAATGGTTAGCCCGCTGACAAGTAGCGAACGTGTCAAATGTGGAATGATAGAAAAGAATGAGACAACCTTATGCAAAAATTGTTTATAATGGAATGAGAAATGGAAAGCAGCTCAGCAAGAGTGGGAAGCAGCCTAAAGCCTAACTCACTTGGTAGAAGAGGGTGGAGGGGATTTACCATTAGTAAAACAAATGGGCGGCTAGAAGGTACAAAATTACGAAGACAATTTTACAATAAGCTTAAGAAGCAAATGTTTTAATTTCACTACAGCGCTCAATGCATAGCTAGTTGTGGTGGCCCAAAGTGATGATTAAATTTTCTTATGGTTAAACAGCTATGGATCTACGCTTCCTCTGCAGTGGATCGGGCCACAATGAGGTGTATCGTCAGAGCGACTGCATACAATGAAGATGGGAAGAGGCAAAACAATAGAAAGTAGATAAGAAATGGTGAGTGTTAGGCAAAACGCAAGCGATATTTGGAGGGTTAGAGTGTATTACTGCTTCCTCTAACTGATGAGATACCATAAGGTCATAACGCATCGTGGATCGCAATCATTTCATGCGGAGAGCACGCAATATTCAACTGTTTCATCAGTTACGGTCCTACTGATCAAAGTGCTCAAGGCTCACTTCAATGCAAATGGCCGTCCACATGGAGATGACGCACCGCGATTCATTCACACAACGTGTACTTCAAAAGGACCCTCCAGTCAGTCGTTAACGGTCTTCAAAGAGTGGTATGTCTCGAATCGATGGTTTAGGGAAGTGGTTTCGTCCAACATCCCACTGGTCGCTGCTCCGATGCCTACCATCTCTATCTGCTGCGATCAAGCAAGTTGGAAACCAGTCTTGGGGTGCAATGTTCTCAGGCGGGCAACGTCCGATTTCCACCTCTTTCATCGGTTATGGTTCCAGTGATCGCATTGGTCACGGTTCACTTCAACATGAATCGCAATCCACTTTAAAGAATGCGCGTTCTGAGCCATACACACGAATGTTTCCAAATGATCCTCCTAGTCAAGCGGTAATCGGTAATCGTGTCAACCCCGGTGGTCCATAGCTGTTTCCAAATAGTCAAGATGGTGCGGACGACTATCGAAGTAGAGTGGTACATGTTTGTGGTGCCTCCTGGTAGTTCAGTGTTGCTTAAATTTAATGCTACTTGGATAGGGCATGATGTAAAGGAACTCTTTGCATAGCTCGCTAGTTCGATCACATCCACAAGATGAGGGGGTTTGAGTAAGATGAAGAATGGAACAATGGTTTATACCGGGTAAAATTACACAGGTTTAACATGTCCTGGAGGTTTGTAATTGAAGAAACTGAAATTCAACTACAACAAAAGTGGACCAAATAAAATACTTATCTGTGGAACTATAGAATAATCTCGCGTAGAAGGAGGGTTGCTGGAGCGAGGTGGTATCAAGCAAAATGAAATATGAGGTTTGAAACAAATGAGAATCTCCGTAGCTCTGGGTGTGGATGCGGATTTTGTGCTGTTCTCCGAGCTGAGTGATTATTGTGCAGACTTTTCGTTGCCTGACAAGGCATCATCATCAGTGCGGCTTCAGGGACCTGTTTCACACTGCTTCGTAAGGGACTTCAATGTTCAAGTGCTTATTGATCGAGATATGTTTTGAATGCCAAGCTTCAATGAGCCCACGTGCTTGCCGGCTTATAGTCCTTCCGAGGATGTTGGCGTGTTCTATGTCTAATTGATGCTTCTCGGCATTCATATGCACTGACATCAGGTAGTTCTGATCGTTGCGCCTAATGGCTAGGCTGTGTTCGTGTAACATTGTGCAAAACTTTCTCCCAGTCTGTCTCACATAATATTTGTCATAGTTCCGCCAGCAGATCACACCAGTTCCTTCCTTCCCCTTTGCTAAGTCTATGTTTCACTTTGAAGAGTTCACTGCGAATTGCTTCCATTGGCTGGTGTGCAACTTCGACTCCAAAACGCAATAAAAGCCTTGCTGCCATTACAGAGATTCCATTGATATCGGGCATAGTTGCTCTCTTTTCAACTGTTGCATTTGCCGGGGTGTGTTGGGCAGCCTTTTGTAGTGTGTGGCAGCATAGAATGAAGCATTTTGGGTACGTGGCACTGCGAACCAACCCCCTGAAGCCGCCCTGACGACGTTGCCTTGTCAGGCGACGAAACATCTGCACAATAATCACTTAGCTAGGAGGAATAACTGGTGGTTACGATTAATACTAAGTGGAAGTAACAAGTAGATTGTTCACCCATATGTACATATTAACGTGGATGATCATTCCAAAGAGGCATGTTCGCCTGAATATATCCAGAATATGCGTTCAAGTAAAAAGGTGTAAGGAGCTTAATGCGATATCCAATCGTTTTTCGAAAACAGTCAATGTTCGAACACAGACAAATTAATTTTGGAAGGTGTTGTATACGAAAGGTCAAACGCACGAGCAAGTTAAAAGGTCATTCTGATAAACGAACTGCTGTAGTCTGAACAATGTCTAACTGGATGAGTACATTAATGTGTCGCAAGGAGAAGGATGAACCAATAGGGAAGCAAAGAATTAGACGCTTTGTGTGCGTGTGTCTGGAGTTGTGTGCACGTGCCTGTTTACACTAGCCGTCAAGAATGCTGACAGAATACACAACATCACCTCTCCGCTTGATCGTGTGCTGCGTCCAAACCATATCGATTCGGTCGTCTTCGTTCTCGGCTCCTCCTGCGGAGCTGCGTGTTTTGCGTGATTTCGTCAGTGAAGGTTGGTGGCATTTGCTCCGTTCGTCTGATACTTGTGAATAATCTCCGGGAGTTGACTGTGCGGCCATCCTCCAGCACATAAGGGCCTGGCCCACATGCACGCGTTATCCTTATCGGATCTGATAACGTGGGTTGTCCTTTTGATGCAGCATTTATCTTCACGCGCACGAATGTTCCGGGCTGGAGCGGAGTAGTATGCTTCTGGTAAGTGGTCTGATATAGATGGCGACGATCTAACTCGTCGGAATTATTGGTTGCAGGAATAGAAAGTGCAGCATTCAGCTTTGTCCGAAGGGCACGACCAAGCATGTGTTCATCTGGCGTTTTGTCTGTGGCTCGGTGGTGTGCGGTTCAATAAGAAAATAGTGCTTGTAGAACTGCATCCTCCCAACCTGTACCAGATACGCGAATAGTTTGGATACAGAGCTTGGATGCAGAGCATCCGCTCCAACTTTGTATATGTAGGCGTATCTACGGCGGATGTGGACAATGTTCCACTTTCCACATGGAATGGCTGTGTATTCCTCACCGACCGATACCGTCCCTCATCAAGATCGCGCTGGTGGATCTGGTAGTTCTCCATTCCCTTAATCGCCCGCCAAACCTTAACATTGTCCGCGAAGTGTAAAAATTCTGTGTGATAACTGTTGCTAGATCGTTAGTGAAAACTAAGAATAGGCGAGGTCCAAGTACCGAACCATACGGTACGTTGTGCTCCACTCGAACCGGGTTGCAAAGTGATCTTCTGACTCTAACATCAAAGCACCGTTCACGGAGAAAGTTATTGATCCATCCCAAGAATGGATCTCCGATGCAGTAATGCTAAAGTGTGTGCAGCAGCATTCCATGATCCAAGCGACCGAAAGTTTTAGAAAGCTCCATGGAGACAACGTCAGTTCCTATCCCGTCATCGACCGTGTAGGAATCGCGATCTTCATAAAATGTTGTTATACATCGAAGTGGAAAGGCTTCATGGTATAACAGGATATACGTCCTCCACCAACTAAGCGAGCATGCTGATTTTTGGAACCCTGTTATGTCTGCCGTAGATTCGTCTGCACGGGCTTCCTTGGTCCTAGAGGTGCACACATGTGTAGTGGAATTCCTCCGAATATCCTGCTTGTACTTACCATTTTAGGAGGTAGTTTCCACTAGTGTGTTTGATTAAGGCATTTGCACACTACTTGACTTTCTGCTGCCTAAGTATCATTCTGGTTATTATCTCGCAAGCACGTATTAGCGGTCTTTTTGATTTTGTTGGTTAATTGTCGTTCCTCTGATATGTTAAAGCCTCCTTTGGTTTTAATGCGAACGATCGATATGTTCTTGATACACCTTCGCAACCGGCCGCTGCCGACTCTTTGAGCCACATTTCTGTGCTACTTCTACCGAACCCGTCAACTGTCTTCTTTGTTTTTGGACTATTGCGCATTTCACCTGCTAGAGCGTCGACCAGCGGCTCGAGAATCACTCGAGCAGTGCTGTTGAATGAAGAAAACAGTTGGTGTTGGTTTGTTTAACTCAGACGTTCGCGAGATCCCACATGATACTGATATTTGATCCGTCTCCCATTCAGGTATCCACGATATGAATTTATTCCTGTTTTTGAAAAAGATGCAACAGACGCGAAGCCAATAGGGAAAACGAAAACAAATCCTGGTAAGCTGTTGTTGTGCAGAAAGTTGTGCGTCACAATTTGCTTGGGTCATTGCTAGCACTACCCCGTTACGATTTTAACAAAGATAAACGACTTATGAGTTAAAGCCGGTGGTGTTACAGACAAATTTTATTGGTTGGTGTTGTATTCATGCAGATTTTGACATTTGTTCCTGTGCTTTGTCTATCCTTCTGCGAGTGGTAGAAAATACGTCCACATGAGACGTCTGGAAGTCCACATGTGCCAACGGGGGTAGCACTGAAGACCCGTTGTTGAAAAGCATCACATGGCTGTTTAAAGATGCGCTGCAGTAACAAGAGGTCTCACCGGGTGTTCGGTACTCAAACCCTATGGACTGTCTGAAGTTTGCGGAAAGCTACTGAACAGCTTACAGGAACGCAGACCGACGTGATTCATGTTGGTTTCGTTACTCAGCCTGATTATGAAGTTGTTTGGGAGAGGTAGTGCGGTTTATTTGCTTAGTCTGTGTATGGTGGGTCAAACAATTTGATCTAGCTATTAGAACAGCTTAACATCTAGCTTAGCTGACTTAGTACCAGAGGTAAAAGGAGAGTAAGACATCATCAGTACGCCAGCACACCGTGCCGACACTTCCAGTCGCACGATGGTTAGATATGCCGTGTGGCCGTCCGTTCCGGTGACCTCAGGATTACAACGCAGGAACACAATCGTTTCGGCCACTGACCGACTAGTACCATAAGTTTAAAGCTTAGTTCGTGTGCATTAGGTACTCAATGTCAACAGCAGCTAAACATTGCCTGGCCAAATATTGCTTTTGGTACAATATAACCGTTGCTTCAGCCACAGTCCTAGTGCTCAAAGCTAGAAGCATGGTCCACACTGGGATTGTTCATAGCAATCCAAGCACACTGCGAGCAACTCAAAATGACTGTCCAACCATTCGGAACTAAGTTTTCGGTTTCTGGATTCTGTCAACTTGTTAACCGAAATTTTACCTGGTGTTATGGGAATATGTGGTGTTCTCCAGAGCCCCTTCTGTTAATTCATTAAACAACTGTTGGGTGTCTAGTTGACAGCTTAAAGCTGAAGATCGTGAATTCCGGGGGACCTATGGACTTTGTCATCAGTCCATCTAGAATTACATGTGGGGTCGGAGCAACTGACGACATCTCAGGACAGATACACATGCGCCTAATGGTCACGTTCATTTGCTGCTTTGACAGACACACTGTGATTGGATGATGCAATATGTCAGAAATCTACCAAAACTCACAAGTTGGCGGAGAAGTCAGTATCCCTAAAACGTGATTTTATTTCGGTATTTTGTCAAAAACTTCATTCTAGCCTCTAAATTGTCACACCTTTTCTCCTGCACGCTTCCGCTTCCCAAAATCTGCAGCCTTTCTTCATCGCTTCTAACTTGCCTACTGTACTCTAGCCATCTTATAGTCTTGAAGCTTCCAAGCTCGTTGTGCAGATATATCTTGATCGGTATTTGAAATACAACCAGCTGCGTGATATAGGGTGTGCTATCATCCTTCCACTGACCCCACACCTATAGCCACCGGCTATAGGTGGTGTCACCTAAGTGAACTCCCTACTTCGGCTTGAGTGACCGGGTGATATCACGTCCTCTGACAAAACCATGGATTACTCAGCGTTGTGTTTCGGTTTTCTTTTCGCAATAACTGCGCCCTCTATTCTTCGTCAAGCCATTGATGGTTGAGGAACAAAACTAAAAACAGAAAGCGCATATGTAAAACTCAATCCAGCTGTACCTTTAGTTCGACTATTGTCTGAGTAGCTCATAAAACTTCAAGGTCATCCTCACATATGCGTGAAGTACGTGCTCCTGGTTCATTAGGATTATTCCCCTCTACCCTCTCTCCATCTTCTCGCAGCGTTGTCATTGTACGCCCATTCGAACCAGATTTACTAGCCCTACACAGTGATCCATCATACGTGGAAATGTATTCTACGATTAAAGTCTGGTCCATCACTAACCGTTTTCACTGGCATCCGTGATTAACCGCAAGCGGATAACTCAACCACAGTGAGCCGATTGCCTTTCTGTGTGACACCATTCGACACAGAATTCTCGAAGCAGTCCGAAAAGCCTGAGTTTATTCCGATCCGGCGCTTCTCAACACAGCTATGAAAGCATTTGTTATCTGGAGGCGGATGGCGATCGCTTCGGCTGTTGCTAATAAGCGACATCTTACCGCTCGTGTGAAGAATCCAGATACGCGGGCAATTGGTTGAAAACTGTGGTGCCTATTGATCCGGTGGTTAAAATCAACTAGATGTGCCAACACGGCGCTTGTCACTGTTTTAGTTCCACCTGTACATAGCCAACTCGGGCAATGCTCACAGATCTTCTCAGACAGTTTCCTGTTTGTTCTTCCAATATAACTTGCTCGACATGAACAAGTAAAGGAGTATACACAGAAAGAAGTACTTGACCGAGGAAGTCTGTTCTTGAGTTGAAGCCTTACGATTGGCGTTGAAGTAAATCTTAGTCGTAGGCTTGCCGCGTAGTACATACGGTTTATGGCGTCGGATAGCCTTCTAGAAGTTGCCTGCGCTATTCCATCCCCTTTGAACGGCAAAGACAGATAAACCAATTTCTTTTCAACCGAATCGGTTTTAGCCCTCGATTCTCGGCACTCCATATTTCTCCGAACAAACTTTTCGGGGTAGCAGTTTCTCTCAAAAAGGCCAGCTAAGAAATTCAGTTCGTCCGAGAGTGTACTCACTACATATCCTTCTTGCCCTTTCGCTTCAACATCTAATCAAGTTCCGCTTCTGACTTAGTGGGACAAAGCTGGCAAAATGTATGTATTGTCCATTGCACTTGGCTTTTCTGTGCACCCTGCGTTGGATTGACCCATCTGATCTGCTGCTAATTTGGACGTCTAGGAAAGACATCTTACCATGACGTTCAGATCCCAAGGTAAAATTAGCGTTGTTGTGCGCTGAGTTAAAAGGGGATAGAATTTGCTCTGTGCAGCATTGACTGTCTGTCACACAAAATATATCATCCACATATCGGCCGTAATAGGGTACTACGTTAATGACTCCGCTCAGGTAGTTCTTTTCTAATTTGCTCATGAATATATTTGCCAGCAGAGGTCCTATCGGTGAGCCCATCGCTACTCCGTCTTTTTGTCTGTATACTACCCCATTAAACGGAAATGGTATGTCGCTAGTACACTGCATGAGTAGCTGTTTCAACCGATTGTTCGACAGACCGATGTTCAACTGATATGCTCGAATGGTGTCGCATAAATAGTCTATTGTTTCCTTTAAAGGAACATTCGTGAAGAGCCACACAAAGTCTAACGCAAACATCTTTCTTCCGGTTAGGTTAAGATGTTTTATACTGTCTACAAAGCTGAATGTATCAGAGACTATAAATGGCTGCAATTTTTCTCACTGGTTCTAAAAGCTTGGCTAGCCACTTGACTGTTGCGTGGTAAGGTGAGTTGCACATGACCAATATGTGTCTAAGTTGAAGCCCCTCCTTATGTACCTTTGGCAGGCCATAAATTCTCGGAATTACCGTCCCCGTGGGTCGAAGTTGTTCGCACGTGGTAGAGTCAATCGAGTTTTCTTGTTTCAGTTGTCGCAGAAGCCTAGTAACTGTTTTTCTATTGCCGCTGTTTTGTCCCTGTCATCCTCCATTTTATGAAACTTTGCGCGATGGCTGAGGATGACCTCCATCTTGTCAATATAGTCAGTTTTCTCAATCAGAACGATCCCTTCCCCTTTATCCGGCCTAGAGAGTAGCAAATTCTCGTTTTGTTTGAGTGCTTTGAGAGCGTCTAGGTTTGGGTTTGTGCTTCAGATACTGATAATATGTATTAACCAGGGTAGATTTAAAGTGCTCGGACGCTAATGCTGACTAGGGCGTAAGGGAATACAAACTTTCGAACTGAAGCTCTAATTCTAGGTGTCCTGAATAACTACGGGGACAGCAAAACTTCGGACCAAGTGAAAGTACCTCTAACAGTGTCTTATCCAGGTGCAACGAGGAAAAATTGTGAACGTACTTTTCCGGGTCGGGTGGAAATATTGTGCTTGCCTTAGTCGTGCCAACTTGTTGCTGTAATGGCGGTAGACGCTTTTCTTGTTGCTTTGTGAGTATTCGTTGAACATATGTCTCGAATCGCTTGCGTTCATCTGCGTCCAGTTTGTCCATCATGACGGAATACGTGCACCGGTTAAGCTCCATATCATCAAGTCCCGAAGTAATGGTGTCACACTCGTTCAACGTGTGTCGTTTCAAAGCCACGTTAGTCGGATTAATCCGATTTCGTCAGAGTATTTTCCAAAATTATTTAGGATGTTCGCGACGTAAAATACAATCATCAAATAACCGCACCGATGCTTTCGCTACTGCAAGCTTTGTGCAAAACTTAACATACTGATTAAGTCCTTTGAGCACAACCGGATCCTTGGACTGTTTCAAGTGAGCAAATATCCCAAGTGTAGACATCAGAACACTGACTAAGCCTCCCAGAACATCAGTTACCTATGCAGAAATTGCTGCAAAGGTCCACCGCGAGGACGGCACTGCAGCCTCTTCTGTTATGAACACCGTTAACTCGAACAGAGGGACAAACAGCAAACAAGTAACACTTGTCAACAGGTCAGGACAGACCAGTACCCTAACCTGTAGATCAAGGAAAAATAGATAAACAATATGCCCGGACTGTTGTCTGCTCAAATGTCCCTGAATCTACCGCCATCACATTGCGGGATAAGTTATCGGACGACCAAAACCATTGGAACTCATTGCGCTTGTCGATGAGCGTCAAAGCCAAGCCCATAAACGTATTACGAATTAATAGTCATCCGAACTAGCCGCGCTATGGAGAACCCAGACTTATTCGAGTAACACTAGAATCCTTCACCGACATGCTCTCCGCAGGCGCGCTAAAACTCCGATCCTAAGAATACGCACCTATCCTGATGTCCCTTGGAGCGCGCGACAACCAAAAAGCAATACCAATGAGGG